GTGGAGATGATCGTGGACTTCAGGAGGAACCCCCCTGCACTCCTCCCACTCACCATCATGGATAGCACTGTAACGACAGTGGAGTCATTCAGGTTCCTGGGCACCACCATCTCTCAGGACCTGAAGTGGGACACTCACATTGACTCCACTGTTAAAAAGGCCCAGCAGAGATTGTACTTCCTTCGCCAACTGAGGAAATTCAACCTGCCACAGGAGCTGCTGAAGCAGTTCTACTCAGCCGTCATCGAGTCTGTTCTGTGCACTTCAATAACTGTCTGGTTTGGTTCAGCTACAAAATCAGACATCAGAAGACTACAGAGAACGGTTCGGACTGCTGAAAGGATTATTGGTGCCCCACTGCCTACCCTCCAAGAACTGTATACATCCAGAGTGAGGAAAAGGGCTCAGAAAATCACTCTGGATCCATCACATCCAAGCCATCTCCTTTTTGAACTTTTGCCATCTGGTCGGTGTTACAGAGCACCGAATACCAGGACAGCCAGGCACAAGAACAGTTTCTTTCCCCAGGCAATCTACCTCATGAACAGTTAATGTTCTCCCATTGTGCAATTAAAGTATGTGCAATAACCTTATACTTATTTATCACCCTAAATCCTAGTACATCCCTACAACTTTATTTTATTTTATTTTATTTTATTTTATTCTATTCTATTCATATTCTATCTATAGCACACCTGTACATACAATTTATTCTTTTTTTGTGGTTTATATTTATGCATGTGTATTTTATTCACATCTTATTTTTATTATCTGTGTGTTGTTGATGTCTCCGTGTACTGGAAGCTGTGACACTATAACAAATTCCTTGTATGTGCAAACATACTTGGCAATAAAGCCCTTTCTGATTCTGAATTCTGATTCTGAAAAGCCGTTTTATAAGAGAAGTCAATGACTTTTTGCGACAAGTGGGATTCAGCTTATGGCACTTTTCATTAATTCCTATGGTATCCGTAAACGGCGATTGAGTGTCGCACAACTCTGACTGAAATTCGAAGACTCGAAATTCAATGACATTGAAATTCAATGACCCAATTCAAAGCTGTAATGTGATTGGTTATTACGGCACACATGATCCAAGTTAGCCGTTACGCGTTCTCAATAGTAAGTAATACAGACCCTCTAATCTCCCTATAGTAAGACAATCTCTGGCTTTATCCCCTTGTATCACACAAAAGTGACGATTCTAGTCAACCAATCAACGTTCTGCAGTGAGTTTAGCTCCACCCTTTTGGTACCCTTTGCTGTGCTAGGTACCCCAACGGAAGGGTACCAAAAAAGTGGTATGGTTTACTATTTTGGTACCATTCTGACAATGGAAACGGACATAATTGCATACCATACCATACTGTACTGAACCGTACTGGGTGGAAACGAGCCAAACAGACAAAGAGGAAATAAATGTTTCTCAACTAAATTATTTATGCATTCATGTTATACTATTGCTTGTATTCTGAAAGCTTTCATGAGAAATTCACTTCGTGAACTGATTTTTATCCAATTTGGTTTACAAAATCCATTTATACTTGGCCACACACATTTGTTTTTGTAAAACAGATATTAACCATTCCATGTGAATACTAGATCTCATTTTCATGACTATGCTAACTAAAGTATGTTGATGTTCTAGTTATGTTACAAATGTGCCACTCTAACATGCATTTTTGCAGTGCAAAAACCTGCATTTTATTCACTAACCAACCAACCGCAATGCAGATTAACCGGGTGTTAAATGTACTTAAATACCACAGCAGGGTATTTAAATTAAGTTATTTCATTCTATTACATGTGAACACAAAGAAACAGGTCTAACACTGACCGTGTCCTATATGTGATTCCATTGCTATCCAAATCAAAAACTCACACTCCGTAAAAAGCAAATGAAATTATGTATTTTGAGCCCTCTACTTTTTGACACAGTATATCACTCTTTTTGTGCACTTGTTAAAATGCTTTTTTTCTGTGGTTTTCTAGGGAAGGTGACATGAGCTGTCATCTCTGTGATGAGAATGGAGCGCTCCATCAGTACGCCTATGAGGCCACTTCTCCTCACGCCTGTGATTCCACTGGATACTGGACACCAGAGGAAGCAGTGGGTTAGTACTCAGTGATTCTTTATTATAACATTAGTCACACTACTTTACTTCATACTTGTGCAGGTGGAATGACACAAACCATAAAAAAAGTCTCATTGCTGTTGGGCTGTATATCAGCACTGTTGAAATCCTATTCGGTCAATCAAATTAGAGGACCAGGACTAACTGCTGTATTATAGTTTTTGTATCATGATCTAACAAAGCTCTTCCACACGCATATGTCATGAATTGTAAGATGGTGAGCGCATGACTGAATGCCGTCTCTGACATAAATGTTGTTGGACGTGTGCTTGATCCTCAACACACCACTGAAAATGTCACGAATGATCGTCAAAGTAAAAAACAATACCTGCTCTTTGATTAATGAGGATAGAGAGAATTTAGCCCTGGCTTCTTTCTCCGAACTTGTGCATTCACATTCAGGTGGATCGTTCAGTCTCATGCGGGCCAGGTGCGTGCAAGTCTGGAAAAATGTAAGGAATAAATCATTAAATCATAATTGCTTGGATAAAGAACACTCTTTTTGCCATCAATGAATAAAAAAGGCCCTTGGCAAAGCTTCAAGTTTTGGTAATATTGGGTGGCGTCCAGAAGCAGCCCGTCATAAAAAGCGATGTTTATCCTGTGCAGCTTTTCAACTTTATACCTCACGTAACAGATGTTGCTGATTAGTCTAATCAGAAATCTCTTAGCATCTGGTCTGCCCACTCACTGACGTGTCACGGATAAGACTGTGCTTTGAAAAGTCCACCCAAAATGTGGAAATCCTCCACTGGTATGCAGTCGTTTTCATAAAGCACAGTATCATGAGAGAGGTCAAACATAAAATCATCCAGCTAGGTGGTAGTGGAGAGTGATTTTTGGCCCGGAGTCTTGTTTTGAGAAACAGATTGATGAGAAATGAAGTCTTAAATTTGAAAATAAAAATATATATCTCTAAGAAAACAATATCTTTGCAATATTAATGATGAATGAGATTTAATACCATCGGTTCAGGTCTGTAATAAATTACAGTAACCTATTGTTTTTGGTTTATTTTTAAAAACATGATAAAGTGCATGATGACTACCTAATGTGAATTATTTTGTCAGTCAGTTAATCATGTCAGAAAGACTTTAGGAGCAATATGACAACACTGTTTGTGCAGTATGAAATAATGCTCATGGTAATACCACGGTGAATCATTTGATAACTCTATTAACACAGGCCAATTCGTTATCAAATCATATCTCAGATCTCACATCTTGTCAGTGAGTTTAGCTCCATCCTTTTGGTACCCTTTGCTGTGCTAGGTACCCCAACGGAAGGGTACCAAAAAAGTGGTATGGTTTACTATTTTGGTACCATTCTGACAATGGAAACGGACATAATTGCATACCATACCATACTGTACTGAACCGTACTGGGTGGAAACGAGCCAAACAGACAAAGAGGAAATAAATGTTTCTCAACTAAATTATTTATGCATTCATGTTATACTATTGCTTGTATTCTGAAAGCTTTCATGAGAAATTCACTTCGTGAACTGATTTTTATCCAATTTGGTTTACAAAATCCATTTATACTTGGCCACACACATTTGTTTTTGTAAAACAGATATTAACCATTCCATGTGAATACTAGATCTCATTTTCATGACTATGCTAACTAAAGTATGTTGATGTTCTAGTTATGTTACAAATGTGCCACTCTAACATGCATTTTTGCAGTGCAAAAACCTGCATTTTATTCACTAACCAACCAACCGCAATGCAGATTAACCGGGTGTTAAATGTACTTAAATACCACAGCAGGGTATTTAAATTAAGTTATTTCATTCTATTACATGTGAACACAAAGAAACAGGTCTAACACTGACCGTGTCCTATATGTGATTCCATTGCTATCCAAATCAAAAACTCACACTCCGTAAAAAGCAAATGAAATTATGTATTTTGAGCCCTCTACTTTTTGACACAGTATATCACTCTTTTTGTGCACTTGTTAAAATGCTTTTTTTCTGTGGTTTTCTAGGGAAGGTGACATGAGCTGTCATCTCTGTGATGAGAATGGAGCGCTCCATCAGTATGCCCATGAGGCCACTTCTCCTCACGCCTGTGATGTAACCTATTGTTTTTGGTTTATTTTTAAAAACATGATAAAGTGCATGATGACTACCTAATGTGAATTATTTTGTCAGTCAGTTAATCATGTCAGAAAGACTTTAGGAGCAATATGACAACACTGTTTGTGCAGTATGAAATAATGCTCATGGTAATACCACGGTGAATCATTTGATAACTCTATTAACACAGGCCAATTCGTTATCAAATCATATCTCAGATCTCACATCTTGTAGCGCTCGCCCCTGTTTACCTGTACCGTAGCCTCGGTATGTGCTATAAGGCAGCTTTTCGAGAAATAAGGCTCGAGCCAGGGCGAGCAGAGACCTGGTTAAGGTTGCTGAAAGAAGGAAGGATGACACGCTCACAGATCTTGCCGCATTGCTTCTCCCGGCGGGAACATTACACCACATCTGATACAGTCATTAATTCTACCCTGTGTGGAGGCCCTCGCTCTGTTTATCTGACCAATTGAGTTTTATGGTTTGCCTTGGCCTGCTGCTGTTTACCCCGTACACATCCACACATGTGAGGCCACGCTGGGTGCAAAGGAGCGCTCTGTGACTCAAGGCTGCTGTCTGTCTATCTGTCTCTTTCGACCTGGAGTACAGTTTAATCCGTCATTGTAAAACCTTTTGGAGGCAGAGAGTTCACATGGCCTGATATTAATACTTGTGCTCTTTACGTTAATGCACAATAGGATGAGCTCACTAAACAGTAGTATCACTTTAGCATGCATTATTTTGCCATAAAACTGTCTGATTTACAAATTAACCCCCTTTAGTTCAGTTTAACAAGGCTGTATTCATTTCCTTTCTATTTAAATGATAATTATTATAGATAATTTATAATTACAGGTTTATTAAGGGAAAACAGTACTTTTTTCCTTGGAGTAATTAACAACACACTGCTTTTGGCTGCAGAAAAGCAGGCTGAGATTTCTTTGCTACATACATCCAGTATAAACAAGCAAATCAGTATTAATACGCTTATATCCTGGCAGGTTTATATCATTTTATATCTAAATATTATATATACTGACCATTTTACTACATTTTTCATTGTTCATAATGTCTAACTTTTATTTACCTTTATATAAAAATGTGTTTATTTATAAAGAGCTGATTTACACCACTGTTTAAAAGTTTGGGATCAGATTGATTTTTTTTAAAGGAAAATTATACTTTTATTCAGCAAGGGTGCATTAAATTGATCAAAAGTGACAGTAAATACATCTATAATATTACAAAAGAATTCTATGTCAAATAAATTCTGTTCTTTTCATTAAAGGAATCCTGAAAAAAAAAACAATATTGCAGTTTTCACAAAAATATTAAGCAGAACCACTGTTTTCAGCTTTGCCATTACAGGAATTGCATTTTTTAAAATATACTAAAATAAAAAACAAAGAAAACTGTGATTTTAAATTGTAATAATATATCACAATATTACAGTTTTTTTAATTGTATTATTGATTAAATAAATGCATCATTATCAACTCCAAACTTTTGAACTGTAGGATCGCAGTGGTGGAGCGAAGCTGAGCAGTCCTATCAAAGTGTGCCAGATTGTAGTTATAGCGATTGCTACAGAGAGGAGCAAGGAACGTGGAGAGATGAGGAAAATGCGAATCACAGTCTTTAATATCCAAGGAAAGGGGTAATACAAAGCAGGCAGGAGACACACGTAGCACATCAAGGTAGACGTATAACACCGGACAAGGGAACATAGGGCAGACAACACTTTAAATACAGGACTAAACTAGGTAATTAATGAGACACATCTGAACCAAATGAGACAATCACACATGGGAGAAACTGGGTCACGGGGAGCACGTGGGGAGAAAAACACACACAGACAGTCCATGGGCGTGACAGTAGTAGTCTGCTGCATCTTAACACTGAAATATAAACAACACAGGCGTTGATCGTGTGTGCAATTAAATGTTGCTATCAGTGGGCATAGTTAATTCTTAGTGAAGCCCCCGCCCCCCCTGTTTTAGCTCATGTTTTAGCGAGAGTGCCGCCCCAGGGCTCTCCTGGGATTACCTTTCCCTGTCTCGCTCCTGTTCTTCAGGCCACCGCGGACATTAACTCTTAGTTTAATAAATTATTTTGTGAGCCCTGTCTGTCCCAATTAAGGCGCCAATCTGTCTCCTTTGCCAAGTTGCACCTGGGTCTTATGGTCAATTGAGGTCTGGGGAAATGTGCTTCACATCCATTGCCAAGACATGTGGTTTTTCCCAGACACTCTCTCTTTCTGTTTTCCCTTTCCCTCGGTTTCTCCCTCTTTACCTCCCATCCTGTCTTTTTTCGAAAATTGTCATAACAAGATTGAAGATTCAAGAGATTAAATGGTTGTTTATAATAAACACACAGAATTGCTCAGTTCCCAAGTGAGCTGCCTGCAGAAGCAGCATTTTAAAGTGCACTCCCAACGCAAATGTTGTTATACAAAGCTCATCGTTCTGAAAAGCAAGGTGTGCTGTGATTCGCCAGCTATCCAGTGCGTTGTGCTTGATCCTCAACACACCACTGAAAATGTCACGAATGATCGTCAAAGTAAAAAACAATACCTGCTCTTTGATTAATGAGGATAGAGAGAATTTAGCCCTGGCTTCTTTCTCCGAACTTGTGCATTCACATTCAGGTGGATCGTTCAGTCTCATGCGGGCCAGGTGCGTGCAAGTCTGGAAAAATGTAAGGAATAAATCATTAAATCATAATTGCTTGGATAAAGAACACTCTTTTTGCCATCAATGAATAAAAAAGGCCCTTGGCAAAGCTTCAAGTTTTGGTAATATTGGGTGGCGTCCAGAAGCAGCCCGTCATAAAAAGCGATGTTTATCCTGTGCAGCTTTTCAACTTTATACCTCACGTAACAGATGTTGCTGATTAGTCTAATCAGAAATCTCTTAGCATCTGGTCTGCCCACTCACTGACGTGTCACGGATAAGACTGTGCTTTGAAAAGTCCACCCAAAATGTGGAAATCCTCCACTGGTATGCAGTCGTTTTCATAAAGCACAGTATCATGAGAGAGGTCAAACATAAAATCATCCAGCTAGGTGGTAGTGGAGAGTGATTTTTGGCCCGGAGTCTTGTTTTGAGAAACAGATTGATGAGAAATGAAGTCTTAAATTTGAAAATAAAAATATATATCTCTAAGAAAACAATATCTTTGTGATATTAATGATGAATGAGATTTAATACCATCGGTTCAGGTCTGTAATAAATTACGGTAACCTATTGTTTTTGGTTTATTTTTAAAAACATGATAAAGTGCATGATGACTACCTAATGTGAATTATTTTGTCAGTCAGTTAATCATGTCAGAAAGACTTTAGGAGCAATATGACAACACTGTTTGTGCAGTATGAAATAATGCTCATGGTAATACCACGGTGAATCATTTGATAACTCTATTAACACAGGCCAATTCGTTATCAAATCATATCTCAGATCTCACATCTTGTAGCGCTCGCCCCTGTTTACCTGTACCGTAGCCTCGGTATGTGCTATAAGGCAGCTTTTCGAGAAATAAGGCTCGAGCCAGGGCGAGCAGAGACCTGGTTAAGGTTGCTGAAAGAAGGAAGGATGACACGCTCACAGATCTTGCCGCATTGCTTCTCCCGGCGGGAACATTACACCACATCTGATACAGTCATTAATTCTACCCTGTGTGGAGGCCCTCGCTCTGTTTATCTGACCAATTGAGTTTTATGGTTTGCCTTGGCCTGCTGCTGTTTACCCCGTACACATCCACACATGTGAGGCCACGCTGGGTGCAAAGGAGCGCTCTGTGACTCAAGGCTGCTGTCTGTCTATCTGTCTCTTTCGACCTGGAGTACAGTTTAATCCGTCATTGTAAAACCTTTTGGAGGCAGAGAGTTCACATGGCCTGATATTAATACTTGTGCTCTTTACGTTAATGCACAATAGGATGAGCTCACTAAACAGTAGTATCACTTTAGCATGCATTATTTTGCCATAAAACTGTCTGATTTACAAATTAACCCCCTTTAGTTCAGTTTAACAAGGCTGTATTCATTTCCTTTCTATTTAAATGATAATTATTATAGATAATTTATAATTACAGGTTTATTAAGGGAAAACAGTACTTTTTTCCTTGGAGTAATTAACAACACACTGCTTTTGGCTGCAGAAAAGCAGGCTGAGATTTCTTTGCTACATACATCCAGTATAAACAAGCAAATCAGTATTAATACGCTTATATCCTGGCAGGTTTATATCATTTTATATCTAAATATTATATATACTGACCATTTTACTACATTTTTCATTGTTCATAATGTCTAACTTTTATTTACCTTTATATAAAAATGTGTTTATTTATAAAGAGCTGATTTACACCACTGTTTAAAAGTTTGGGATCAGATTGATTTTTTTTAAAGGAAAATTATACTTTTATTCAGCAAGGGTGCATTAAATTGATCAAAAGTGACAGTAAATACATCTATAATATTACAAAAGAATTCTATGTCAAATAAATTCTGTTCTTTTCATTAAAGGAATCCTGAAAAAAAAAACAATATTGCAGTTTTCACAAAAATATTAAGCAGAACCACTGTTTTCAGCTTTGCCATTACAGGAATTGCATTTTTTAAAATATACTAAAATAAAAAACAAAGAAAACTGTGATTTTAAATTGTAATAATATATCACAATATTACAGTTTTTTTAATTGTATTATTGATTAAATAAATGCATCATTATCAACTCCAAACTTTTGAACTGTAGGATCGCAGTGGTGGAGCGAAGCTGAGCAGTCCTATCAAAGTGTGCCAGATTGTAGTTATAGCGATTGCTACAGAGAGGAGCAAGGAACGTGGAGAGATGAGGAAAATGCGAATCACAGTCTTTAATATCCAAGGAAAGGGGTAATACAAAGCAGGCAGGAGACACACGTAGCACATCAAGGTAGACGTATAACACCGGACAAGGGAACATAGGGCAGACAACACTTTAAATACAGGACTAAACTAGGTAATTAACGAAACACATCTGAACCAAATGAGACAATCACACATGGGAGAAACTGGGTCACGGGGAGCACGTGGGGAGAAAAACACACACAGACAGTCCATGGGCGTGACAGTAGTAGTCTGCTGCATCTTAACACTGAAATATAAACAACACAGGCGTTGATCGTGTGTGCAATTAAATGTTGCTATCAGTGGGCATAGTTAATTCTTAGTGAAGCCCCCGCCCCCCCTGTTTTAGCTCATGTTTTAGCGAGAGTGCCGCCCCAGGGCTCTCCTGGGATTACCTTTCCCTGTCTCGCTCCTGTTCTTCAGGCCACCGCGGACATTAACTCTTAGTTTAATAAATTATTTTGTGAGCCCTGTCTGTCCCAATTAAGGCGCCAATCTGTCTCCTTTGCCAAGTTGCACCTGGGTCTTATGGTCAATTGAGGTCTGGGGAAATGTGCTTCACATCCATTGCCAAGACATGTGGTTTTTCCCAGACACTCTCTCTTTCTGTTTCCCTCGGTCCTCGGTTTCTCCCTCTTTACCTCCCATCCTGTCTTTTTTCGAAAATTGTCATAACAAGATTCAAGAGATAAGAGATTAAATGGTTGTTTATAATAAACACACAGAATTGCTCAGTTCCCAAGTGAGCTGCCTGCAGAAGCAGCATTTTAAAGTGCACTCCCAACGCAAATGTTGTTATACAAAGCTCATCGTTCTGAAAAGCAAGGTGTGCTGTGATTCGCCAGCTATCCAGTGCGTTGTGATTGGCCGAATACCTCAAGCGTGTGACGGAAATGTTACGTCCCTTACCATACTGTGATGCTGTGTCCCGGTGCAACGAGACAAGAACAATAAAAACCCATTACAAACGAGGCATTTGTTGCATCCAGTGGGGACATAATTACTGATTATAATGACTTATACTGTCTTTTTTCACGTTGCGTTGCGTATCGCGCCGCGTAAACATAAAACTATTTGTCTGCATTTGTGATCGGAGAAATGACAAACAACAAGCGCTACTCTACACTGCTCAAAACTCACGTTTGAATTGTCAGTGGCAAATTCTTTAAATATGAAAACATACTTACAGGCTGTGAGTCAGAACAGATGGCATTGTAGGCTACTCTCCCAGGTTCAGGAAACAGTCCTCCGTAAATTGCATTGCACACATCTGAATATTTGGTTTGAACTGTTCTTGAACAGTGTTGTAAATACAACTTAATACAACACTGATTTCTAGTTGTGTCCTCTTTTGGAAGGCCAAACAAAGTAGTTTCGCTTTCACAACGAAGCACACAGCGTTTCCACGACATGGCGGCGTCGGCAACAATACTACAGCGAGAATCAAAGTTACACCTTCTTTCTTTGCGTAAACATTTGGGCGGTGTTATGCAAATCTTCCCACACAGTGACGTAGACATGTGGGGGCGTGTTTAAACGAGGCGTTTTAGGAGGGCGTGGACGAGTCTTAACTTTTATAAAGAATATCTCTTTGGGTTTGAGACTTTAGTCTTTGCAACTTTAGGGATCTTATCTATGCCCGAACAGCTTGTAACACTCCAAAGAGAAAGGAAAACTGGGAATTGCATCATATGACCCCTTTAATGCTTATTGGTCTACCTAATTGTTAGCTTAGTAACATGCTAACATCCATACAGAAAAAAATGCTTTCTTAGAAAAATGTAGCTGCCTTTGTAAGCAATGAGGCAGCTCACAGAGATAATAAGTGCACTTATAAGTGCAGTGTACAAAGCAGCCCACTATTTTGTCAAGTTTTCTAATGCATTGCTATGGAAATGCCCGTTTTAGAGCTTATATGCCAATTTTATTACAATGAATTATCTCATCCTTCCAGGTGTATATCCCATTTGCCAAAAAGATTCTTAGCTTTTGATGGCAAGTTACAGTATTTTCTTTTTGGCTTTGGATGAGGTTTACCTGTGTTTTTGCAGGGGCCCCTGATGTGTACCAGCCATGTGAGCCCAGCATGCAAGCCTGGAGTCCTGAAGTTAACCTGTATGAGCCCAACATGACTACGCCATGCCCCCAGATCGAGGGCTGTGTGTTGGAATTGCACTTCCTTCACCCAGTTGTCCCTGACAGTTTGACCGTATGGATCACTTACACCTCAGCCAGTGAGTATACTGTCTATCAGTAGGTGTATATCAAACACCTGTCATTATGGGAATATACACTATACTGTTCAGAAGTGTGGGATCAGTAAGATTTTTCTTTTTTTAGTTTTGTAAAGCAAGGGCACATTAAATTGATCAAAAGTAAGAAAGACTTTTACATTGTTATTAATGTTTCCGGTAAATGCTGTTCTTTTGCAATTTCTAATCACAGTTTCTACAAAAATATCAAGCACCACAACTGTTTTCATCATTTATTATAGTAATGAATGTTTCTTGAGCACCATATAAGCATATTAATATGATTTCTGAAGGATCATGTGACACTGAAGACTGGAGTAATGCTTCTGACAATTCAGCTTGGCCATGACAGGAATAAATAGGATTTTAAAATATATTTAAAATAATTTAATTGTGATAATAGTTCACAACATTACCATTTTTTTTCTGTATTTTTGATCAAATAAACGCAGCCTTAGTGAACATAACAGACTTCAAACACATTAAAAAATCTTACCAACCCCAAACTTATGAACAATAGTGTATGAATGTTTTATATGAATTAATTCTTCTGTTTTTTTTTCCACAGATCAAAAGGCAATTGCTAATATAGTGCTCATAACTGAGAATGGCGAGATGCTCCACACAGGTCCTCAGCATGCTTTCTGTGACATTCCTTTGACCCTCCATTTACATACTAGTAAGAAGGTCAAGGCCGTTAAAATCTCCACCTTTGATAAGAAGCTGGAGATCGATGCTGTTTTGCTGACCTCGCGGCCCCAAAATCCTCTCTGCTCTGGCTGCCACCCCCTTCTCTACAGAGTGCTTAGAGAACCACCAATCAGAGAGGACCAGAGTCCCATCATCGTCAAACAGCCCACATACACTGACAGGTAAGAATATGCGCCTTTGTAAGATTAACAATAGCACTTTGTTTTGTACGCAGACACTTTGAAAGACTATATTTTTAAATATTTATTTGAAATTGGCGAGTCATTAGTAATACTGTCAAGCGTTTTCAAATAATAATGTCTCTGTCATCTTTTTATTGTGTTTCTAATTGATTTACAGCATTTCTGGGAGTATTATTTTAAGTGTGGCTTTAGTATAAATGCTGAACATGTTGTCTTTCTAAAACTGTCATCGAATTGTATCTTCGGCGTATCACTATTTAAGTATTGTGCAATGGTTTTCGCTTGAAAAAATCGTTTCCACAGCCAACACAATAAGAAGAATAACAATATCATGGATTTGACATTGTCATTTCATTAGCCATTAATTTTACAAGCATCAACGCATAGCCAATTTTTGTTCAGTTCCTGTCACATTTTATTCTGCTTGTTCCAGTACAAATTCATCAACGGGCACTGGGTTGTTGTTCAAGTACTTGCAATAGGTCAAAATGTCCAGAGATTAATAGTGTGGATCAGAGAATGTAACATATCCAAAAAAGTTCCTTCCACAAGTCCTGTAAGCTCAGAAAGATGGAAACTCTACTGGGAATAGAGCTATGTGGATAGGGAAAGGAAAGAAAGACAGATTGGATCTGCGAGAGAGGTAGAGAGAGAGAGAGAGAGACCGCGCGAGAGAGAGTGGTACAATGAAACCCTGGAATATAAACCAAATGTGACCGCTTTACCCGTAGAAATGTCTCGGTTATTTGTGTAACCCTCGTTCCCTGAAGGAGGGAACGGAGACGTTATGTCAGTCATGACTGACGAATTGGGATCTCGCCCGAGAGCCCAATCACCTTCGATTGTTAACTAAACAAGCCAATGACAGTTGGCGTGCGTGTTTCGCCACGCGCACCCCGCCCCGCAGCGCGGGTATAAAAGGAGAGCGCGTGCAAACGCACATCAGTTTTTCGCTGAGG